TTAGGTTGAGATGTAATCATGAGATTACAGGTACACATTACATGAAAATGCACGGTAATAGGGAGATTCCACAGCTGTTTTTGCACATGTGAAATGACAGATGGAAGGAACCAGTTTTCAGAGTCAGTGGTCCCATAAACCTTGCTTGAAACAGGTTTCTCCCTCAGAGAATTGTTTGTCTGGTGGGTTGACGTCTGAATTATTAGTTGTCATCTGCTACAATATGCCATGGACCATGGCAGATAACATTACACCATTTTCACTGATTATCCTCATATTTTCAGTGATCATTAGTGATATCTATAAGCTTACTAACTTTTACTTTTTTAAACATGACTGTGCTGACTGTTCTTAAATACATTCTTGTTCTGTAATCCCACCAGCAAGAAGTTGAGTTGTTGGGTCACATACCTGGGATCATGTCACACTCATTCACATCCCACACATTAGTCACACACACATACATACACAGACATACACAGCACCACCACTACCTTTAGTCTCACACACCACACACTAATTCACACACACCATGCTTAGCCACATACAAACACATATGTGGTCATGCAGGTCTCTTGATATAGAGCTTGTAAACAGCACAACCACACATCCAAAATAAAAACAACTCTATGACCTTGTTTGTGTCTATCCTATTGTTTCATATGGCAGCCATATTTCACATACGGTGTGCTACCAGGGAATAGATGTTATGGGTGGAGTTAAACCTGTGTGTTGAGAAGGAAACACTGATGAAACTGTGTGTCTGGGCATGTATATGTGTGCAGTCTTCAGGCATAGAGACTTTGATGATGGTTATTACACAACACCGAGAAGTTTCCCTGGAGATTTCATTACACAGGATTAATTAAATCATACAGCAATGGTGACTCCATGGAGGTGTCATAGGCACAGTAGTAACTCAGAGTTGGTTTGGCTCTGCACCAGCCCTTCCCTACACAAGTGGTCCTTTAGTGAGGGGCTTGCTTCTCTGTGACCATCTCTAGCATTCATTCCTCCTCCCTGCCAACTAACTTTCACTTCTCTCCACCCACCCTCCTTAAAACATGTTATGATGTGCAAACAAGCAAGCACATTACAGAGGCAGAGACGCTTTATGGACAGTTAATTTTTCTGAATTCTAAAATTCAAGCACATCACTTGATGACTGTGTTTGAAATCTGGCACTGCAATAGAGGGCGAGATCTTCCCAAGGCAAAGGTCACAAGCTTTTCTTTTCTGGAAAACACACAACTAGGTAGTCAGCAAAACCATTTCATTAATTATTCTTCTGGATGAATCATTGGTACTGAGTGTAACCTCATCTATGAATATATAAACACATGTCTCCATGGAGGTAGCCTTGGTACCTGTACCTTCCCTGCTGTCTTGTTGGAGAGGTAGAGCCTGACTGGCAGGATTGCTCTGGGATAGGCTTGTTTTGTCAGTTCCTGTAGTTTTGTTGGAGAAAGTGTGTCACTGTGGGACTGGGCTTTGAGGACTCTTATGCTTAAGCTAATCTCAGTGTCTGTTCACAACCTGGTTCCTGCTGATCAAGTTGTAGAACTCTCAGGTTCTTCAGCACCATGCCTGCCTGTGTGCTGCCATGTCCAGCCATGATGATAATGGACTAACCTTTTGAAACACTAAGCTACCCCTGTTAAATGTTTTCCTTTGTAAGGGTTTCCTTGGTCATGGTATTTCTTCACCAAGAGACTGTATTATATGAGGAACAGTCACTCAGCTTCTCACTCTCGGGAGGGTTTTGACTGAGAGTCAAGGTTGTTGCTGACACTCAATGGGAAACTCTGGAGGTCATTATGCTTTCTCTATGACATCATCTTTCACTGGGGAGGAGTCTGTTTAGCAAAAAGCAGTTAATATCTTACCCACAGCAGTGTTCTGTTTTTGTTTTTGTTTTTGTTTTAGGCTTTTGTGGACCCTTTGGATGTGTGCAACTTAGTTGTTACCAAATATCTTTCCCTTCCACGTGAGATGGTCGGATGGTCAGCAGAGTGATGTCTTGCTGTAATGTTGAAGGAAGCACTCAGGGCTCCAGTCCCTTTCCCGTGTGCCCCATCTTCTGCACCGCCTCCCACATACCCTGACTGTCAGACACAGTGGGAATTATTTTCATTTTTTGGTTAAATAATTATTTTCTCATGGAGATCACCCCTGAATTTCTCCAACCTCCTGAGACAATGGTCTCCACTGGGACATTTCCATTTGGTGTCAGGCACTGACTTTACTTTTGACCATCCCATGCCTGTGATATTCAACATGGTCTCCCTGGTGAGATCAAGGGCCACCAGGGCTAGTCACTTTCCCAAGTGTGTTATCTGTCCCTTAGCACAGGAAGGGAGGCCTGATTTTGGACGTTAGAACGAAAATGGTTCATTATTAAACTGTTTGTCATTTGTGTTTGTAACATTTATAGTTTCTGGTCCAGTGAAATATTTCTTGCTGATTTACTTAGGAAGCTTTACACATCTTCACTTGTGTGTATGTGTGTTCAACAGAATTGGTTATTTATAATTTTCAGGTTGTTTAAAAAATACTAGTTTCATATCCATCCCTTCGAACCACTCTGTTATTCCATCCTTAGGATCTTTGCCCACGGAAGTGCTTCAGGAGACAAGTCTGAAGCTTTCACAATTTTTTGAAATTATTTTGTAATAGATGTATATAAGTGATGCAGTATTTACTTGATTAAAAATATATCTAGTTATTGGTGTAGCATACTGCTCCTTGTCTTGTACTTTGCTTGGTAACAGATCACTGACATCTTCACAGGCAGGAGCTTGCAGAATTGCTGTGCTTAAATGAACCATATTGTCTTCCTGATGAGGACTATTCAGCAATATTGGTGGGAGCTCACCCACTGACTCCTGCTCGGGACTCCAGACATATATCGTATTGTCTCCCATCAATGGAGTCGGTAAACCTGTGTAATACAGTAGGATTCCATGCAACAACAAGGATTTTTTGTACCTTTTTTGAGCAGGCCCACTATAGCTCTTCTAACACCTGTGGCCCTGCTTTGTTTTCCAGGCATTTCAGGATTCAGCTTTTTCTTCTGGTTTTTCTCAAGTGATTGTTTGTTTGTTTTTTGTGGCAGAGTTACACCTCTATATATTAGCCTATAATTCTGCAAGGACCAAATAGTGACAACCTCAAGGAGCCAGAGCTCACATTGACTTCTCTACCCGGATGGGCCACTGCCCCTGTCTGGTTATCGGATGGTCTGTCTTTGCTGTCTAGAAACATCACTGTCAAAGTAGCTGGATGGCTATTGCAGCAGTGTCTGGTCCAGGGAGTCACAAGTTATCTTCTCTGGTCAGGCAATTTCTCAAATTGTATCTGACACTGAGCAGAGCTGCAGACTAGTCTCTGAGGTTAGAGTATCCTGCTCAGAGTCAGATTTTCACAGTGCCGATCCGCACAGGATCAGACACTATCTATGTGTTGTGGACTATTGGCTTAAGATGTGTTTCATTCATTTATGCTGTGGAATATTTTTTTAATGATGCAAACTTATGTTGCACTCATTTATGTTGCATTTGTTTAACTCTGTGAGCTGTTTTACTTTGCCTGTCTAAAACACCTGATTGGTGTAATAAAGAGCTGAATGGCCAGGAGAGGGATAGTTGGAGCTACAAGTCAGATAGAATAAATAGGAAGAGAAATCTAGGTTCAGGAGAAGGGGGAGGAGCAAGAAAAGGAGAAGGAGAGGAGGATGCCAGAGGCCAGCTATCCAGGAAACAACCAGCCATGGAATAAGAAAAAAATGAAAGGATATAGAATAGAGAAAGGTAAAAGTCCAGAGGCAAAATGTAGAAGAAGAGAAATGGGTTAATTTAAGTTAAATTAGTAAAGCTGACTACAAACGAGCTCAGCTAAGGGTGGGCATTCATATATAAGAATGAGACTCTGTGTGTTTATTAGGGAGCTGGGTGGTGGGCACCCCCAATATAACCAACTATGTGTATGCACAGCGAAATGCCTCTCTTTTGGGGGCAGAGCTGTATGTTGGTTTTCTGCGTAAGCTGAGTGTTTGTCTGAATTCCTAATAAATCAAGCCTGGCTCCTTCTCTAAAGTATGCAGAAGTGGAATTTAGCTGTCAGGTTGGAGCTTTTGCACAACATTTCAAGTTGAGGGGACCCACTGCTTGACTTCCCCACACAAGCAGGACTAAGTCCTCCAGTTCTTGAAAGGGTCTTGAAAGGCTAGGAAGAGTTTACCAGTGCCTCTGGTTTCTCTTTTTCTTATTGACATCATCGGCCTGAGACACTCACCCCATCTGTTGCTGTTCTGTGTGATTTGTGGATGTAGCATGAGAGAGGTACAGAAATGTCAGGCCTGTTTCTACACAAGAGAAGACTTAAAATTATACCTTTACACCACACAGAGAAATTAGCTTCAAGACAATGCATGATGGTATAGAAAAGTTAACACCACAAAACTTACAATATCTGGTTAAATCATAATAACCCTGCTCTGAGAATCTCTGCACAGAAGTCATGTTGTCTGGTGCCTGCATGTTGAGATGGAACACTGTGCCTAAACTGCATGTGGAGAGCAGATTCTGGGCATCACTGTTGTAGATACAAGTCAAATGGTTCCCTTGACTAATGTTTGTCAGAAACAGTAAGTCATTAGGGGATTGTTTACGAACTCACTGGATACACTGTCATTTCCTGACTCATTATTTAATGCCAGGACTAGGTTCAATATCAGCCCCTTCCTGGAATTGTGGTGAAAGGTGGAAGTACTAAGTTCTGATCCCTTTGTTCCTAGGAAAGCAGAGCCCCTGGCCATTGTGGCTGGAGTAAATTAATCTGACCATCATCAAGGAGGCAACAAGCTTTCAGAGGCTCAGCTCTTCATCTTCTGTCTTCTGTCTGGATGTCTGTCTACAAGCCAGAAAGAAAGGCATCCTGTCTTAGAAAGGTTGTAGAAATAACAGAAACTGATCTAACACAGAGAATGTTTCCATTTTGATGGGGACAGTGGCTGTGTAATACTGGTTTACTGGAATCCTACAGCATGCTGGGCAGAGTCCCAAGGCTCAGTGCCTGTCAGTCAAGACTCCTACATTCATAGATCCATTAAACCACTGCAAAATATAATTGATTTGACCCTAGCCTGTCCTATGTACAATAATGTGCTCTTTAGGGAGAGACCAGCTTTTCTGTGACTTCTAGCTTTCTCTATCTACCTCTTTTTGGTGACTTTCACTGTCCATCCTTCTTAGTTTCCCTTCTTATAAGGTATAAATGAGCATGTGATGAATGTAGAGGATCCTTATAGGCAGCTTCTTTTTTTTCTGAATTTAAAAATTAAAACATATTGTTTGATAACTCTTCAAAACTAGGTCTGCAATAGAGGTCATGATCTTTCTGAAACAAAGTCATAAACGTTTTTTTTTTGTTTTGTTTTTTAAATCTGGAAGGCACAAAAGTAGTGATTTCAGCCAATGAAATTCATTAATTATTGTTCTTTTAAGTAAATCATTAGCACTAAATTTCACCTCACTTGGAAACATACAAATCCTTGTGTCCACTGAGCAAAGTCTTCTGCCTCTACTCAACCAGCTCTAGTAGAGGAACTCAGAGTCTCAGCAGCTGGACTGTTCCGGGCTCTGCTTCTCCCATGGCTCCTGCAGGTCTCTCAGCCTCCCTTCCTCTGTGTGTGTGTCTGCTGCTGGCCTCTGGCTTTGCCCAGGCAGGCAGGCTGCTGGTGGTGCCCATGGATGGGAGCCACTGGTTCACCATGCAGTCGGTTGTGGAGAAACTCATCCACAGGGGGCATGAGGTGGTGGCAGTTGTGCCAGAGGTGAGTTGGCAACTGGGAAAATCCCTGAATTTGACAATGAAGACATATTCAACTTCTTATACTCTGGAGGAATTCGATCATAAGTTCAAGTGTATTTCTGACACTCAATGGATAACTCCAGAAAAACGTATACTTTCTATAGTAACAGGCTCAGGCAAAGAGTTTTTCGATTTAATAGCTTCACACTGTAGGAGTTTGTTTAATGACAAGAAGTTAGTGGAGTACTTGCAGCAAAATTCTTTTGATGCTGTGTTTCTGGATCCTTTCGAGGTGTGCGGCTTAACTGTGGCCAAGTATTTGTCGCTCCCTTCAGTGGTCTTTTCAAGATATTTCTTTTGCCACCATCTTGAAGTGGGAACTCAGTGCCCCAGTCCACTGTCTTATGTTCCCAGACTCTTCTCAAAATTCGCAGACACCATGACTTTCACAGAGAGAGTGTCAAACTTTGTTTTCTACATGGAAGAGTGGGCAATTTGTCACTACTTGTTCAAAGCTGCTACAGACATTGCCTCTGAAGTTCTCCAGACCCCAGTGACTATGGATGACCTCTTCAGCCAAGTGTCTATTTGGTTGTTACGCACAGACTTTGTGTTAGATTTCCCCAGACCTGTGATGCCCAACATGGTGTTCATTGGTGGGATCAACTGCCAACAAAGAAAGCCGATTTCCAAGGTATGTTGTCTCTTCTTTAGCACATGAAGACAGGCCTGGGTTTAGGCCATTAAAAGAATATTCTTTACTGAGTTGTGATTTACCTTTTGTATCACTGCATATATAATACATAATTTTTTCTTGGTTATAGAATTGTTTTGTGACAATTCACTAATTAGAAAAAAATCTATAGAGATTTCCCTATTGATATGCATGTGTATGCCTGTTTCATAATTGCATATACCTTCCAAGATACAATCTAAGTGTAAATATGTATGTGTGCCTTTCTTTTTGTGTGTGTCGGTCAGGATCATTACATTAGAAAGGGGAGGGGACAAAGAAAAGTTTGCTGAGGAGGAACAAAATGGTCCTGATAGACATGTCACATGAAAACAGAGAGGGGAATATTCGGGAGTAGGAAGAGAACATATGGAGTGTAAGGCTGGCTAGAAAGAGAATGGAATAAAAAGGAGAAAATATACCATATCTGAAAAATGCCATAATGCCGCCAAATAATTTGTATGCTAACTTAGGAAAGATATTTGAAAACACACACACACACACACACACACACACACACACACACACACTCACACACACACACCCTTGAAGCTTCATTTTACTGTTCTTTGGAGATGTTTACATACACATCAAGCCATGAAGCAGACCGCATTATTTGTTGGTTGCTCTATATGAGTGCATATGTAGTTTTTCCAAATTGCCAAATTATTGATATGTGTGGTGGTATTGTGTTCCCCAAAATATTGTGTACCTTAAACATACCTGGGGTCAGAGAACAGAAAAGCCACTCGTTAGGCAGTGATAGCACACGCCTTTAATCCTAACATCCCAGAAGCAGAAATCCATCTTGGATCTCTGTGAGTCAAGGCCACATTGGAAACAGCCAGGCGTGGTGACTCATGCCTTTAATCCCAGAAAGCAAGTCTTTAATCCTAGGGAGTGATGGTAGAAAGCAGAAAGGTATATAAGGTGTTAGGACCAGAAACTAGAAGCATTCGGCTGGTTAAGCATTTGGCTGGTTAAGCATTCAGGCTTTTAAGCAGCAGTTCAGGTGAGAGCCATTGGGATGAGGACACAGAAGCTTCCAGTCTGAGGAAACAGGACCAGCTGAGGAACTGGTGAGGTGAGATACCTGTGGCTTGTTCTCTGATCTTCCAGTTCATCCCAATACCTGGCTCTGGGTTTGATTTTATTATTAATAACTTTTAAGATTTCTGCTACAGATATA